AAGTACGCCTGGACTCCCTCTACGCCGTCCTCAACTCGCATTGTGCGATTGTCTGCGAGGACACTGACTATAGGGTCTGCCAACTTTTGGACTTTTAATCCTAGCCTCAGCTTCTTCAGCGCCCTACGGCTAATATAGCTGCGGGTGGCCCCTGAGTGTATAAGAGCCCCTACTCTACTTCTAAACACCTCTACATCGACTAAGATTAGTTATCCCTTGCTCTCCTTCCTCATTTTGGCCCAGGCAGGCATCCTCTCCTTCAGTTCTTCTGCCACACCTGTGAGGGACGTGCCTAGAGAGACGCTAACACAAGCAGTCTCTGGACAGCTACCTAGGCACGGGCCTGCAACCTCTGCCATAGGCTCATGTGGTTTGGGAGTTTCTTGTGTGCGCGCGCTCGCTTCCCCACATGGCCTTGAAGTAGAGGCAGTTGCGACCCCTACTTGCGGCTGCCTTTTGACTGCTGAGCAGCCCATCGGGCATGTCTGTACTGCGGACAAAATTTAATTACGTGGGCCGGGTCACCACAAAACACGCACTGACCCAAGTTCACGCGTTCCTGCCATACGCGTTGGTCCAAGCCCAAGTCTTCCCAGGGCCTGCCTTGTGGCAAGCCTGGGTGCCATCCTCCTTGAGGTGGTCTTCCACCTCGTCGCTGTGGGGACCGACAAAAACCTTGACGATTTGGCGGGGGACCCTGACCCCTACCTCCCACTTGGCGGTTCCCTTGTCCGCCAACCCCCTGTGCGCCCGGTTCTCGGCCTCCCATGGCCTGGCCCCTTTGGCCCTGGCCTCCTCCTCTACTTTGCGGCCTCCCTCCAACCGCGACAACAGCATAGGACCTCCCCTGCCCCACACTACTGTCCTCCTCCTCAAGGCCCCATTCGATCTGACTGTATGGGACCTCATCTGTACCACCTTCCTCTAAAGTAAGGATCATATGATCCTTGGCCCTCACTTGGCCTGAGATGGTATGGCCTTTCCACTTCTTCCCCTTGTCTAAGTCCTTATGCCAAAAAGTGGTAACTGGCATGGACTTGGCCTCAAACAGCACCACCTCCCTACTAAGCGCATCGTACGTCATGGTGGGCTGTTGGGATTTGTCAAAGAAGTGCCCACGCAGGGGCTCTGGCATGGCACGATAAAATAGCTGGACCAATTGGGACTCAGTCACCCCATGGTCCGGGACGACCATCAGGTCGTCCATTACTGCCTTGAGTGCCTTGGCACTCCTCCACTGCCGTGAGTGGATAGTTTGCGAAGATCAGCGAATCGCTCCCTAAGGAGCGAAGAATTGAGGGAGAGGGGTAACCTTGGAATAGGCGACCATGTTGTTTTCACAACCGGCCGCGTGCGAGAGGGACCTAGCAAAACTAGCCGCTTCGTCCTTGAGGGCTTGGAAGGCCACCAGGACCTTATCGTCCTGTACGATGTGTTGTAAGCAAACGTAGTTGTTTACGCTAGCCTCCCAGTTATCGAAGTTCTCGTCAGATTTCCCACCATGAGCATCGGGGAACTTAAGTTTGACTGGTTCTTTGCGAGGTTTGGCCTCGCCCTCAGCAGCGGCTACTACTTTGGCGCCCTCAATGGCACCCTCACAGAACTTCCCCACGTTGTCTTTCAACCGTCTGACTTCCCCTCCAACGTGGGCAACCATCTCGCGCGCAAAATCCCGAAAACCGGACCGCATAGCCTTCAGGGCTACCTCTTGTGCTCTATTGGCTTGGCGTTCTTCCATCCAAGTTGCGCTCAACACCTCCAGGTACCCCAACACCTTATCCCATTTGGCCTTGTCGTCGGCCTGAGCCTCCACCTCCTGCCTACGATCCTTCATCTTCGCCACCTCTGCGGTCAACCTGTTAACCTCATCCCTCCTCTTCTTTTCCCTCTTCATTCTCAACTTCCACTCCAACTTTTTCTCCTCCTCTCTTTCTTGTCTTTCCAGGGGGTCGTCCATTGCTGCTAGCTCCTGGGCTAACGTATCCCTCTCATCCTAGGGCACATAGAACTCTGCCTCCTCATCCTCTCCCAGCGATAAATTAGCTATCCACTCGCTAATCTTCTTCTCCATCTCTGCGTCTTCATCCCTCTTCGTGCCACTACTCCCCTCTCTACTTTCAATACGCATTCTCTCTTTTTCTTCTTCTGCTGTTGCTTCCTCTTCGGCAGCCTTTCTCCTCTCTTCCTCCTCCTGCTGAACTCTCTTCATCTCCTCCTCCAGTTTCTTCATCTTCGCCGCCTACTCCTCTGCGATAGTCTTTAACTTCGCCTGTTTCAGGAGCTCTTTCCTCTCCTTGTTTTCTCTCACTGAGGCAGCCATCTTCTCTTGTTGCTCCTGGGTGTAGGGGCTAGTGCTCTTCCCGCTACGCAAGTCCACCATGGTGATAGGTGCACAATCAGAACGATTCCACTCCTCACCACTTAGACTCTAACCCCTGACTGACAAACTTACAGACTCAATCTAAGACTCACAGAATCCGGACAAAGATCCTGCTAACTAGGGTCTCTAGCCTGAACCTAACTATGGCTGTCACTACTAGACCTGTTGCTGATCAGGAGGCATTAAAGGAGATCCCCCGTAACTCCTCAGGAATTATTTAATGTTGTAGACAGGACAACGCGATCAGCAGGTCTCTCAACACTTAGACGGCCTATTGCACAGCCCACAGCTCGGATTTTGGGCCTACCGTGCCACACCGAGCAGCCCGCCGGTCAGTACCGGTCCTTGGGAGGGTTCGTGTCCTCCGGGACAGTCGAGTCGTCAGACACAGTCTTTAGCCCTACTCAGCCCGTGTGGGTTTGGTCAACAAGGCCCTATCCTTCATCCAGAGAGTACTATCACCTAGACAGAAGAGACTCGATGCAGAAAGAAGAGACAAGCAGACTGGACTCAACAAGTACCACAGGGTGTGTGCACATCCATAGGGCGAGGGGTAGGCTGAAGGCTTGGCGAGATTTTACCGGCTCCAGCTTGGTCAAAGTCTTGGTCAACGCCGGTCAACGCTGCGGTCAACTCCCGGTCAACCCCTGGTCAACTCCGGTCAACGCTGGTCAACACCTCAGGTCAACTCTCCCGGTCAACCCTTCGGTCAGCTTTGGCTGCCGGCTTCTCTTTCCCTCACCAACCTTCTTCTTCCCTTC